GCCCCATGAAGGCAGGAGTTCCACTGATGTGATGCTTGGTCCATAATATGTATACAATAAATAGTTGTAAAGTTTTCTAACAAATGTGTTTAAGCCACTGTGTTCAGATTGTTGCCAGTCCTAGAGGTGTGGGTTTTCATCCCACTCCTGATTTACATTCTTTTCTGTCACTTTGAGCAGAGCATTATAAAGCAAGGATCTTACCTCTTTGTTCAACACTGTATTGCTCAGTATCTGGTAAGTGATTGGGGCTTAACAACTATATATTACATTAATGCAAAATAAGTTATTGATTCTGCTTGAAGCATAGAGAAATTTGGAAGAAGAGACCATATTTGAACTGGGATCTGAGGCATAAATGGGATTTTGCCAGGAGAAGGAGGGATAGGACATAAAGGCAAAAGAAGACAAGTGCCAAAGGGAAAGATAAATGGGACTGTAATGAAACTGACCTGTGAGCTCCCAAAGCCTGGGTCCCCACTTGATCTGACCTCTAGTCTACTTCTCCTAGCACGTAACTGGTGATGCAGCAGTCAGGCCCTGGGACGTGCTTGTTCAATGAATGAACGTGACGTGTGAACTCATGTATGACTTTTTTGGGAGGAAGGGGTTAGGTTAGGTAGAAACCAATCAATAACTCCTGCTATTGAGAGCATCTTTTAAATGTAAACCTGGCAAAAATATTTGGAAATATTAAAAAAATAACTAAATTTTGTATTTTTGAATATAATGAAAATTCAGTTTATGTGTGTCAATAAATTTCAGAGTAGAGTCCCTTGTTTTTCGTTTTGTTTTGTTTTGTTTTTTTGAGTCACTTGTGTTCTTGTGTTGCCTTCTAACATGTCATCAGCCTAGTGAGAGATTGTAGTAAAATCCTGAGGATTAACCCTGAAACCTTAGACCAGATCTTACCAAGGAAAGACTAATCTTTAGGTCAAGGGGAAAGAAGAGTGAGCCATGCAGATATTTCCTAGGGCTGATGAAAACCAACAGCAAGACAGCAGAATTGTTAAACTCATGGGTACAAACACATTGTTTTCTGAAAAATTAAACAGTACAGAAATTACAGTTATAATGCTCAAACAACTAATGTGCATCATTTTTTTTTCTGTAAGCTTGTGAATCAGTTACTAAAAGGTCAAGGAAAAAATGATTTAAAGCCTTTTGTGTCTTAATTCATCAAAAATACTTAATATCAGGTAAAAAGGGCACTTGTTGCATATTGATAAAAATGTATGAGTACTTGTGCTTTCCATCATTTTGGGCTAAAAATCCCCAATTACCTTATCTTCAGTTAGATGTAGCTATAGCGTTCTGATTAAATACCGGTACATAATCAGCCCTTTCCTTAGCCTGGTTCCATGTGAAAGGACTAACAAATGGTGACTCATAAAAGTGTAGATTCAGTTATGGATTTTTAATTCATATGCCTCCTATATGACAACTGTACAAAAATAGTGTCAAATGAAAGGCGGCATTTGGGACAAGAAGCAACCCGTTCTCCCTGATCTTGCATCCTGTTAACAAGGAGAAGTCTCTGACGCTTCACATATAAAAGAGCTCTGGGTGGCGTTAACCATTCATGCACAGTCTTCCTTGGGTCTTTTGATGCCTTTAGTTCTTCAGGCTGATCATTGTCAACTCTGGAAGCTTCATGCCTTTTAATTAGTCATTCTTACTTACGTCCTGCCTTTTTGTAGCTCTGGGATATTTCTGACTAGAGCCTGATGGTTCATTTTGAAATATTTCAGAGCTCCCCTCACTGCCATCTCAGACAGTGGAACTGATTTCTTCACCATTCAGGGTAGTCATGTGCTCCCCAACAAATGCTTTTAGGGTGGTATTGTTGGCACATATATCCCACTTCTTGATGAGTATTTATACACACACATACACATAAACATATTACATACACACACGTACGTATCTGCTTTTTTCTTGTCTCTTATCAGATACATCCAAGAATGCTACAATTTTTTTAATTTTAAATTTATCTTTTTACTTTTTAAAAATTAAAAAAATTTTATTTTTATTAATATATAGTTGGTTTACAGTGTATTAGTTTCTGGTGTACAGCATAATGATTCAGTTTTTAATATATATATATATATATATATATATATATATATATATATATATAACTATATATATATTATTTCTTTACTTATTTAACTTAACTTAACTTTAAACTAACCTAATAATATAT